TCTGTGCACATATGGGAGGCAACCAGTGGATATGTCTCTCTCACATTGATGTTTCTCTCTCTCTTGTCTCCCCACTCCCTTCAACTCTCTTTAAAAAAATCAATGGGAGAAAATATCCTTGGGTGAGAATTAACAATAGCAACAAAAAAGAAATGAAAAGGAATATTCCAAGCTCTTTTTCTCTCTTAGTTTAAAGCAGATGGTTTACATAGTTGCATCTACTATATTAATAAGTGTGTGCCCTTAATATTAACAAGTGTGTGTGTGTGTGTGTGTGTGTGTGCGTGCGTGCGCGTGTTCTTTCATGTGGTACCAGTTTGATTGTATCAGCTGGCATTGTTGACCCCTCTAGGGGCCACCCAAAGCCCCATACAGATAGAACATTTTGTGTGTGTTTTTCTCTCTCTTCCTTAGGGTACATGACCAGTACCTCTGTTCCTTGTTTTTCTCATTCCAGTCTTTCAGTTCTCTTAAAAATAAGATCTTCAGTAGAGGTGACTTGAAATGCTGTATTCAAATCAGTTTCCTCAACGGTAGTTGAAGAAAAAGTAAACACCAGAATATCTATATATAAAGACCCGGGTCCGCAATGTTCAAAGTGACCAAACGGACGACCGAACGCCTGGTTGCGCACACAGCAGGCTCAGGTGGGCGGGGACTGGCGAGCAGGCTGAACTGCTGACCTCTTGATCCCCCGCCCCCCCCCCAGCTCCCACGGGTGCCTCGTTGACCCAGCACTGACTGCTGAGGGGGCTGTGGGCCCTGGCTGGCCGGGGAGCAGTGGAATTTGGTCTCGCGTGATCGGGGGCGTGGCCAGCCTTCAAAGCAGACCCTGACGGGAGGGAGGAGGGAGCCCCATGCCTCGCAGAATTGGCCATTGGATAGCTTGCTGTCAGCGGCCTGCCAGCCAGGAATCCCATTCACCTGCATCCCGGACCTCAGTGATCAGGTAGGCAGAGGCAGTTAGGGGTGATCAGGCTGGCAGGGGAGAGCAGTTAGAAGTGAGATCAGGCCGGCAGGGGAGAGCAGTTAAGGGTGATCAGGCAGGCAAGCAGAGAGGTTAGGGGCGATCAGACAGGCAGGCAGGCAGGTGAGCGGTTAGGAGGCAGCAGTCCCAGATTGCGAGAGGGATGTCCCCCAAGGGGTCCCTGATTGGAGGCTGGGCTGAGGGGACCCCCCACCCCCCGTGAACAAATTGCGTGCACCGGGCCACTAGGTTCTTATAAGGGAATCTTGTGGCTGAAGCGGGGTTCCTGCCTGTTGACCCAGGGTTTGCATCAGGAACAGCTGCTCATCCTGGTCAGCTGAGTGCCGCTCCCCCTATGGTAGCACACTGGCCACCAGGGGACAGTTCTTGCTTTGAGCATCTGTCCCCTTGTGGTCAGTGCATGTCATAGCGACTGGTTGACTGGTCATTCTGGTCGCTCCACTGTTTGGTTCTGGGCTTGTATTATATAGGATTTTAGTATAAAATTAAGGATCCCAGTTTTATTCAGTGGGCTACAGTTATCATTATCATTTATTCTGATGTTCAAATTGTCCAGAATTTAGCCAGTGGAAACTTTTTCTAGTTGGCTCCTGTGCGACCCTCCTTGCTTTCTACCATTACCCAGTTCAAGCTTTCATTACTTTTTACCTGGGTTTTTACGTTAGCCTCAAGTTAATTCAGTAAACGTTATGCAAGTACTGTACCTTCTACATCTTTGCCTTGGCTTTGCCTGCAGTGCCTCTCTCTTAAAGGAAGCTAAATTAAATGCTTCTAGAAGCCAAGTTCTGGAGTGATAGGAAGGGACTGTAGTGAATTCAGTGCCTGCCTATCTGTGTATTTACTGAGAGCTGAATTAGGGGTACATTGTTGCCAAACCTGTCAAATCTTAAGAGAAGCTGGAAATTCATATTCGTATGTGAAATCTTAAAATTTCTAGAATGCACCTGTATTCTAGATACTTCTCCGACAAAAAGAAGATTAACATTGCATTTTAATATATTAAAGACTCTGAGAAGTCCTCCAGTAAAGTCTGTCTTAAGATTCTGGATACCTTAGTCTGGTCTAAGAGTCTCTTTACCACTTGACTGCAGCCTATGCATTGATGTTTGGAAGAATGTGTTAGATTACTTCTCATTTCTAGTGTTCAGATGGATTATTCTCTTAGACTGGAATGCTCCTATGCTGTTGACCTCATCCCTCACTCAGTTCCTCTGATCCTGGCACATTGTGGCTCTCTTAATTAAATGTTAATGGCTTTTATATCTTCTTCTGGCCGAAGACAGAGACATTATACTTAATACTAGAGGTCCCGTGCACAAAATTCGAGCACTGGGGTGGTAAGGTCCCTCAGCCTAGCCTGCACCCTCTCACAGTCCAGGACCCCTTGTTCCTTACTGCCCTCCTGCTCGCTGCTCCTTACCACTCGGCTCACTGCTCCTTAGCGCTCCCACGGAGGCAGGAGAGGCTTCTGCCACCGCCACTGTGCTCACCAGCCGTGAGCCCTATCTTTCTGTGTAGTTGTCTGTGGGCTAACTGCTCTCTTCCTTCTCATTTAGGGTGAGCAGCATGTGAGGGCAGAGGGCTGCCCAGAGCTGAGGGGAGTGGCCGGGCCCATGGGATGAGAGGTGGACACAGAGGATGCGATCTCACCCAATTGTGGGGTGGACTGGCTGGCCTTCATCAGCCTGACCCAACCCAGGGAGGGACCACGCAGGGTGTCCGCCTCTCCATTCTCCATCCTTCCATCTGTGACCCTCTCACCCTTGCCAGGCCTCCCCCAAAGTGAGTTCAGCTCAATCCCTGAATGTAAAAGGGCACGGCGGTGGGGAGGGGTTTCACTCCAATGCCCCCCTGATTCCTAGCGACAGGACCTGGTTTCAGGACGGTGGCCACACAGCTGCAGAACATAGATCTGTTTCAAGAAAAGTTGGGAATGCAGACTTTTGTAAGAGCCCCTATTCCAAAAGGTGGCAGTTTATTCACATTGTGGCAAAGACACCTTCAAGAGTAACATAAGTGGGTGAAGTCAGGGCCAAGCCGGGCCATTCCTCATCCAGTCTCTCTGAGACGTGTGGACAGAACCAAGTCTCAGCTCTTCGCTGGACACTTTTAGGTTTTTTTAAGCCTAACAGACAGCAGTCTGTCTCCTTCTTTGGGATTTTTTTCACCGTTGGATAAAAGGATACGTACATTGGGGCAATCCTCTCTAGATACAGTATTCCAATGCATCCATGCGAGGACGACAGCGCCCCTCAGAGGGAGGGAGCCAACAGATGGGGAGCAGGGAATTCTGAAAACCAAAGCCATGACAGAGATGCTAAGCCTTTCCTTTCCTTCATGCATCTGACACCCCTCCTCAGGCGGCCTGCAGGCCGGGTGTCTGCTGGACCTTTACCACTTGATGTCCTGCCCCGTGTGCCCTGCCCCAGACCTGGAGTGTAGGGGGCGTCTGGGCGCGCCTCTCCCCCAGCTGGGAGAGTCCCCATTGCGCTCCCACCTCCTTGGGAAACTTTGCTTTTCCAGCTCTGTTCCCGCAGGAGAGCCATAGGGGCGCCAGATCCCTTTCCTTCCTTCAAAAGTGCCCTGAAAAGCGCGAGACAGCCATGCCGGGAAGGGGTCGCTCAAGTTCAGCAAGTTTGCGTTTTGCCGAAGGCGCGTTGAACAGTTTTCTCTTACCCTGTTTGTGGGAGTGTAATCTTTTTTAAAACCAATGAACTAAACAAACAGAAGCACTTTCTGCAGGGAGCTCTGAGCCCCAGGTTTGAAGGCCGGCTGCTCTTGGATGGCGGGAGACCCAGAGTTCAGCCTCCCGGCCGGCCCAAACCTCCCTTCGGTCGCCTCGCCCCAGCCAGAGGGAATTCTGAGCCCTGGTGGCGACAGGAAGCTCTGGGCCCTGAGTTTGAAGGCCGGCCACGCCCCCATTGCAGTTCCACAGCGCCCCAGCCAGGGCCCAGAGCTCCCTTCAGCCGCCAGGACCCAGGGCCCAGTCATTTGGTTGTCCCTCGCTGCCCCCCCTGCCGGCCTGGTCGCCCCACGCAGCCTCCTGTTCAGTCGTTTAGGACATGACGACCCCTGGGTTTTTGTATATTAGGGTTTTGCACATAGTAGGAATTTAATACATGTTTTTTAAAATTAGGCTCTTATGTAAAGTCTACATTGATTTCAGATTTGTAAAAAAGACATTTAAAAACATGTCATTCACATAAATAGTCTGGAAGGATATTTATTGTACCAAGATGTTAACAGTGGAATTATGGCTATTTTAAAACTTCCCTTTGACTTGTCTGTATGTTTATGTATGGGCATATATTGTTTGGTGTTTTCTTTTTTAATGTTTTTATTGATTTTTAATAGGAAGAGAGGAAGAGAGAGATAGAAACATCAATGAGAGAGAAATATCATCAATTGGCTGCTTCATGCATGCCCCCTACTGGGGATCAAGCCTGCAACCTGGGCATGTGCCCTGACCCAGAATCGAATATCTGACCTCTTCATGCATGGGTTGATGCTCAACCACTGAGCCACAAAGGCCAGGCCATATATTGTTTTTATAGTGTAGAAAATTGCTTGTAATTTTTAAATATTGTTAAATTTAATTTTGATCTTTAAGATTTTATTAGGTAAATGAAACATCTTCAGCTAGACAGAATAAATAGTAATAACATATCTGTATTAAACATATATTCACATGCTGCTGAATGCTAAAAAATTCTCAGAAATAAAGATAAGAATTGTAATCAGATCATTATTTGGATAACATATTATTAGGGCAGGTTGTATTAGTGTTAAGTGACACAAAGTTATAAAATACTCATATGGGGTTAATGAGACTTGTTTTTCTTATAGAATTACGGATAGGATAGTTGAGGAGAGCCATCGGTAAATATTAAGCTCTGTAAATATAACAGTTTATGGAAATATGCAGTAGTGTTATTTCTTTAAATTTTCAGCATAAATTTGGAAGAAAAAAACATGAAATTTAAATAAAAATTTTTCCTTTTTTCTCTTTAAGGAATCAAGGAAGGACTGAGGTAAGATTATTTCTGTTTAAACTTTATTTAAAACATGAGATTATTTTACTGTGCATTAGTAATAGCAAATAGAGGGTGGTGTTTGTATTCTGGAAAACTCCACATCAAACTAGTAGCTAATGGTCAGGAACACATAGTAGTATAAACACCACTCGTGTGTGAATGAGTGGGCTCCTTTCTAGTTCTTCCTTCTTAGCATTTTTCTACTTTGACCTAAAATATCCCCTCTCAGTATTTACAAAAGTTAGTATTACTTCAGTAATATTTTAACATTATTTTAATGTGGCAGAGGCATTTGATTTGGATCTTTGAGGGCTTTAGATTTTGACCCATTAAGTCCAGGATATAATTTTTTTATTACCGAGCACACAGCAGAGAGATATTTAATAAATACTCCATAATCTTCCTCCGTGGTTGGGAGATCAGTATTTTATGTTTATAAGTCTCTCCGATGTAATATTTGATATTCTTTTGGTGAGATCTAGTATGTAGTAAAAATCATTTTGAAAGAATGTGTACTATGTCTTTTTTTTTCTAACCCTCAACATTAAATTATCCTTGCCAATATTCAGTTATACTTATTAAAGTATTCAAAAATAAAACAGCACCATGTAATCACAGTAGTTATTAAGACCTACAAAAGAAATGTATCCTCTGTTTATTGGAATGTTTAAGCTTTCTAAGTAGCTCACTTTTCCCCCTCCAAGTACAATTGCTTTCTTAATTTACTTTAAATATTCACTCATTCAGTAAATACTGTTTTCCTTCTCTGTGCCAGGCACTGTCTAGGAGATGTATACATTTTAAGGATATAAATATAACAAGGCATGGTCTCTTGACCTCAAAGAACTTAGGGGTAAACATTATATTCCTATTTTGGAAATAGAATTTCTTCAGCCATAGACCAGAGAAAACATTTGAAAGCTATTTGTATCTATAATGGTAGATTAGCCCCATTATTCTGACAAGTGGGAAATCTCTTTTTATGACTTAAGTATTAAAATTTTAGATGAGGTTTAAAAAATGCTTAAATGACTAGAAGAAATTCACATTTAAAAAATTATTTGACTTACCAGAATTTCTGTACTTTTGAATACAAAAGTCTGTTGTAATAAGCTTTACTTAATATGTCTATTAGGTGTCATTTACTTTGAATGAGGATCTTGCAAATATTCATGATATTGGTGGAAAACCAGCTTCAGTCAGCGCTCCTAGAGAACATCCATTTGTCTTGCAAAGTGTTGGAGGACAAACATTAACAGTATTTACTGAGAGCTCTTCAGGTAAGTGAGAATAGAATTATTTAATGTGATTCCTGTACATGTTGAATAGATTTTCTGTCTCAACATGCACTCTAAGGTCATTACCAAGGCTGTTCCACCTATTGTTCTACTTCTGTTATTCATATCATGCTACTTCTCTTTACCGTGATTGATGAATTTTGAGTGTTATTTGAACCGTTTAATTTCCACTTGGGGCTTAAAGAAATAGAACAAAGCAGATGGAAAAATGTGGTGCACCAAGCTGTCTTCTAGGATGTTGAAAAAACAGTATTCTGAGTTTTGAGGATAAAGTCATCCTTGCCTGTTTTGGTAAATTGATATTCAGTAGCTATAACTTTAAAAAATGTATATATTTTATTGATTTTTTACAGAGAGGAAGGGAGAGGGATAGAGAGTTAGAAACATCGATGAGAGAGAAACATTGATCAACTGCCTCCTGCACATCCCCTACTGGGGATGTGCCCGCAACCAAGGTACATGCCCTTGATTGGAATCAAACCTGGGACCCTTTAGTCCGCAGGCCGACGCTCTATCCACTGAGCCAAACCGGTTTCGGCCCGTTGTTAATCTTATAAACACTTTACTTTGTGTTATACTCTTTCTGAACATTTTTTTGTTCACATTTCTGGTTACAGTATACTTCAAAGTGAATATGGTATAAGGCAGCGGTCGCCAACCTTTCGGACCTCATGGACCACCAGTGGTCCGAGGACCACCTGTTGGCGACTGCTGGTATAAGGATTATCTTGCCAGAAATGGAAAGGGATCAAGATTGTCATCCTTCTTCTGGAGTTTGGACAATATGTTCTGCTTTGTAGAACTGTGCTAACCCAAATACAGGTCTAAGTTGCTATTAGATGGTATACACTATCAGGGAATTTTTTGCTTCTTAATCTCATTAATCATGTCTGTTTTGTGTCACTGTTATTTGACATTCTTTGTACTTTTCTGTACTTTAATTTCCGTATTTGTGAAATGAGAATAACAATGATTTACATTTATGTATAAACATAAGTATACTTAAAACTTAAGACAATACAGTATTTAATAAATGCTCAATAACTATTACTAATGTTAATAATAGGTATTATTTTTAAACACTTTAGGTTTCAAGGTTATTTTAAGGCAGGAGCATGCTCTATTTGGGTGTATATCACTTGATAAAATCCAGCCAATAGAGATTTTTATATTCGGTATTTTTGATTGGATGACCAAGAAAAAATCTCTAGAGTTGTTAACTTATTATTAAGTTTATTTTCTTTTCTGAGGAGTCTTACATTTGTTTGCTATTTCTGTTCATTAAGTCATCAGTTCTACAACTGAGTTCCATGGCTCTGTAATTGCTATGACATATTTAAAATGCTGTCTATATATATATATAATCTGCATGTTTTTCTTCAGGACAGGACCATAGCTCTCATTGGAATTTCAGAGAGGTCTGTGACCCAAAAAAAACTTCAGAGCCACCACTCTAGTGTTACTTTTGTTTGTCATGAACCGGTCAAAGTATAAGTAACAGCCATTTTACATTAAGTGTTTATTTTACATTGAAATATACATGTGGTAGGCATTATCTTGAATATTTTTATGTTTTCCCTCAAGCATACAACTGTATTTGCTTATAAAAATTACTTTTTAGGTTCTTCTTTTCTTTTTAATAGTGCAACAGGTCTATAAAACAGAATTTTCTAAGAATAATTAAAATCTATTTAAGTTCATTGTGTTGTTTTTATTTTAATAAGAGAAATTTTATTTAGGACATCACAGGGGTAGAAGAAGTGAGTGGTAGAAAAAATGGGCTCAGGAAACAAGTTACAGAGGTGAAAGAAGTGGCCCTTAGAGCATAGGAGAGAGAGGGGCAAAGGTAACAGGCCTGGGGGAAAGGGAGGGAGAGGAGAAAGGCGCAGTTGTGCTCCTAGGAGGGAGAGTTCCTGTTGTGTTGAGTTTAATTTTAATAACTTAATTCCTTCTGCTATCATACTGGGCTGGGTTTTGAGAGTTCCCTTTTGAGTCAGGTTTTCTAATGATTGAATTCTATGTATTTGAGTTTAGTTGGGGGATGGGATTAGAAGGGGATGATGGTATGTTTTATAGTGCTTTCTTCTTAATGAAAACAATCTATTTCATGAGCATTTTATGCATACAACTAATTTGTGTCTAATTTGAGTATGCCTATCTGAGAGAACATTTTTTGTTTTTGTTTTTAATCCTCACCCGAGGATATGTTTTTTCATTGATTTTGGAGAGCAAGAGGAAGGGAGAGAGAGGGGGAGAGAAACATCAATGTGTGAGAGAGAGACATCAATTGGTTGTCTCCCATACATGCCCTGAGCAGGAATTGCACTACAATCTAGGTATGTGCTTTGACCGGTAATTGAACCCACAACCTTTTGATGTATGTATGGGACGACACTCCAACCAACTGAGCCACCCAGCCAGGGTGACACGTTTTATTTTTAAGTTCTATTTTGGGTTAGCCCTCTTCTACCTCCACATTTCTCTGTGAAATTCTAAATAATTTATTTCTCTATTAAATATTTTCATTATCATCTAGTACCCCTATCTTTTTAACCTTAGCTAAGTGGAAATGATTTATGTGTTTGGCCTTTATTTTTTTCCCCTGCGGGTCTTCAGTTTAGTATTTTTATCTACCGTTTATCGGTAACTAGATAACTTCATTTTTGGGGGGAGGGGTCTCTTTCACCTTTTTGTTCAAACTTAGGTTTTCTACTTATAACTACCAGTTCTGGACTAAGAGTTGTTGTTCCTTCTTTTCAACCAATATTTTTAACTAGAGGCCCGATGCATGAAATTCATGCAAGGGGCTCGGCCCTTACAGCCCCTGCTTTGTCCAGAAGGATGTCTGGTCTAATTAGCCTATTACGCTTTTTTTATGGATGCTAGGCCCAGTACTAAAATAATACTAGATTCTGTTCAGTAAGGCAACTGATATGTGAAAAAATAATTGCTATAGCCCTGGCTGGTTTGGCTCAATGGATAGAGTGTCGGCCTGAGGACTGAAAGGTCTCAGGTTCAGTTCCTGTCAAGGGCATGTGCCTTGGTTGCGGGCTCCTCCCCAGCCCAGGCCCTAGTCAGGGCGTATGCAGGAGGTAACCAGTTGATGTGTTTCTCTCATCGATATTTCTCTGTCTTTCCCACTCTCTTCCACTATCTCTAAAACTCAATGGAAAAATATCTTCGGGTGAGGATTAAAATAAATAAGAATAGTGTTTTAAAAAAACTAATTTGCTATAGAAAGTACTCTACTGGAGTTATGTACAAGAAGAAAAAAAATATGCTCTTTGGCTGAAAGAACAGGGAACGGCTTCGAAAGTGGAGATAAAATTTGAGCTGGACCTTGAAGTATATGAATAAGTGTGCATGAATAGGAGGAAAGAAAGTGAAGATAAAATTCATTTTTCTCACCTTCAAGTGTCCTATTATTCACTTTGCTTTCTCACCTGTCATACTCTGTCATATCTATCTAAAACCTAGTAAATAGTTCTAGTTAAATCTAAGGCGGAAACCTCAGTTTTGAACTTCATAATTTAGTTTAGAGATGAATAGGTTTGAACTGATACAAGGGGAGTGCCGGTCTTGAGATAGAAGTAATTTTGACAGCTTTTGGTGATGAGTTGATTGTGGGGTGCCGGGAGCCGGTCCATCCTTGCTGTTTCAATGCATCCCTGTGGAACCCCCACACACTCTGGGCCACAACGAGTAGGAGGGCTACTGAGATGGGCCTTAAAGCCTAGAGCGTGGGCTCAAGTGGAGTTGCTACAGGTGAGGGATTCACCTAACTCAGCAGATACTGCAGGCAGGCCTGAT